ACCAGTTAGCAGCCTCTCTTAACAAAACAAACAGACCCAGTGGAGAGACCATGTGTCCACAACACATGGTGGAGATACTTCTAATATATGAAGTGTTGGCAGCCTAGTTTCAATCTGTCTGCCACACTGAATCAGCCTTTTCAAAGGTGAGATATCATGTTAACCACACTATAGTCCCGACTCCTACACCACCCTGGCCTCAGGTACAAAGTCTTTTAAAACTGCATGTGACATTTGAGAGGAGGTAGTTATTTCCCAAAGGTGTACATGCTCTCATGTCCACACCATGTGACATGGATGGTTCTTTCATGACCTTTAGCTGCGTACAAACAAATGTTTGGTACTCACATTTTTCAAAAATTTCTTTTTTTTTTTTTTTTTTTTTTTTTTTTTTGTACACATTTTCTAGTGAACACAAGATGTGTGTGCATGTGTTCCATGCAAATACAGTATGTGCAAATTAGCATTTGCATGTCAGTGTAGAAAGAAAATGGCATTCCAGTCAGTATTCAAATATTTAATAGTCACAACAATGGAATTATTTAACAATGACCTTTGTATTGTTATAACAATAACAATAATTTGGAAATAATAATTTGTCACACATGCTGTAATGAAAAACTGATGCTGTTGTGGTGTGTCAGTGACAAACTCCCTTAGGTAAGTCTATAGTAAAATATGTCAGATTTCATGGTTTGTTATTGTGTGTGCACTTTTTACTTCCTGGAAAGACCTGTATTCATGATTATTTATTGTATGATGGGGCAGCACGGTGGCGCAGTGGTTAGCGCTGTTGCCTTACAGTGAGAAGGTTCCGGGTTCGGGCCCCACCTGGGACCCTTCTGTGTGGAGTTTGCATGTTCTCCCCGTGCTTGTGTGGGTTCTCTCCGGGTACTCCGGCTTCCTCCCAAAGACATACAGCTTAGGTTGATTGGTGTCTCTAAATTGCCCATGGGGGTGCGTGTGTGTGGTTGTTTGTCTATGTGTTAGCCCTGCGATGGATTGGCAACCTGTCCAGGGTCCTGCCTTTGCCCGATTGCCAGCAGAGATTGGCTCCGGCCCCCACTGTGACCCCATTCAGGGACTAAGCGGTAGAAAATGAATGATCCTGATCTATTTTTAATCTTATAAAGTGATAGTTCATTAAACAAATTTATATTGCATACACATGTATTCTGTCTTACCACGACTGACTTTCATTCTCAGGCCATGGAAGGCTGTGTAAGTGCGAGCAGATAAAAGGCTAGGATAGCTGGGTTGCAAAAGAAGAAGAGAGGATGACAATGCTACTGTGAAAAAAGTTCTGGGGACCCAGGCCCAGGTGGGGAAACGAACTCAGGACTATGAACTCTGACGGTACCTCGTGACCAACAACAACTGACTGACGCTTTTGACAATCTTCTTATTTAATACTTTATCTATCGCATTGCAGGAGGAGAGTCTGTTCTCTGTTTCCATAACTACAAGATTATCTGTTTAAATACTACTCTATTCAGAATAAGTGTAATATCAAATGATCCTTTAAATTGGGATGGTTTGTCTGAATTAATTTAGTCGGCATCACACTCTAGCCACGACATCTTCCTGACCACCCAAAGCCTGTCTCAACTTGTGTCAACATTCTTTCTTTTGCAACTTCCATCACTTGGTCTTCTTTTCTGTCTTACCTCTCCTCTTCTTCCTGACCACCAGAGTCATCCTACACACCACCATCCGATGCTGTCTGGCTACACTTTCTCCTACCACCACTTTACAGTCACTAATCTCTCTCAGATTGCCTCGTCTACATAGAATGTAGTCTACCTGCGTACTCCTACCTCCACTCTTATATGTAACTCTATGTTCCTCCCTCTTCTGGAAATAGGTGTTAACTACAGCCATTTCCATCCTCTTAGCAAAGTCCACCACCATCTGTCCTTCTAGGTTCCTTCCCTTAACACCAAACCTGCCCATCACCTCCTCATCACCTTTGTTCCCCTCA